CTTATGGTTTAGCTTTTAGTGCCCTACGTATTTTTGTGACTTTTCTCTGTACCCGCTCAAGCAACTCGATGTCTTTGATGTAATACGGATTTCAGACTAAGTTTGTAAATTCCAATTTCGGCATAAAATACGTTTCATATAGTTTCAGTACCCTTTCTTCTGATTGGTCGTGGATTGCATTTTTCATTAGAAATTTGCAGTGGCGGCTCGTCAGAGGAGGCAGGGGAGGCTAAGCCTCCCCCAAAAAATTGAAAATTCAATCTCAGTTTTTTATTCCTGATTCCTAATTAAAATAATAATTCACAAATTACACTTTCCAAATTTCGATATTTCAATGTAATTTAGAAAAATCTGACAACATTATTTCAATCAATCCCGCGCCTCCACGACAAAAATCTGTGAATCTGGGATACTCAGTAATACGAGCCCGAAGGACGGAGTTATACGCGAGTCCGAAGGGCTAGAATTATTTTAATCACGGGGCCCAGTCTATAATTCTATTGGCCAGCCGATAATTTGGAGCCAATCAAAAATCGGGCATATTCAAAATGTGATTTTTAGTCTATATTCCGAGTTTCAGTTCTCTCCACTGTGCCGGAAAAAAGTTAGCCTCCCCATCTTTCTTGATTTTGATTTTTTTTCCGAATTTCCAAAAAAAAAAATACCATCGGATAGAGGAGCAAAAAAAAACGTTGAAAAGCTTATGGGACCCTGCTTGCTATGACGCATTTAAGGGCCGGGAAAAAATTAAAAAAGGATATTTTTGGCCAGATAAAAATTTCGACGATCTGACAACGTTACTTTTTCGCTTATAGCTCCGCTATTTCTCAACCGTTAGTCTAGGTATACAATATCGACTAACTGATTGTTGCCTAGTGCTCTTGCCCATTCATCTGCTCCTGTCAAAATATTTGTAGTGACTGATCTTTTCAGTAGAAATCCGTGTTGTTTATCTGGTATCACTTTAATGGCAGTTATAAAGTCTGTAAGTTCCTTTGTGATGACTTTTTCCATTATTTTGCAAATACAGCTGGTTAGACTAACAGGTCGATAGTTAATAGGATCTATCTCCTTCTCCTTTCTTATATGTTGGAGTTACTACTACTGACTGTTTCCAGTCTTCGAAAAGTTTCCCATCCAGCATTGATCAATTGATCTACTTATTATGTGCTCCAACCTGTGCCCCAAAGTACCTGAGCATTTCTTTAAAAAAATTGGTAGAATTTCATCCAACCCTGGGCATGCATTCCTTCTTCAAACTATCTATTGCTTGTTCAATTTTATAGGTTATGAAGTCAACTGATGTTATACTTGTTCTTATTTTTAGATCATCTGCAACTGTAGGTGGAAAGTTCTGAGTTTCTTTTGTGTTAATTTGGCTGTATTGCTCTGCAAACTTTTCTGCTATTTCTTGAGGCTCCATTATCGATATGTTTGTTCATTTATTCCTTAGTGTGATTGTGGTGCTTTTAGAGTTCAGTGTACTTGATATATAAGCTCTGTTCCAACAGACATGAGAACTGTTCCAGATCGACTGGAAATTATTGTTCTAGAACGGTTCTAATGTCAGTTGGAACAGAGCTATAGTTATGAAATTTCTAATTATTTCCACCCTCCAGGAGGATATGCTCATAACTTTTCCCGGCTTCTTTCAGTATCTCTTCAAGTTTATTGTTTTGTGCTCTGGGTGTGTTGTTAATCTGCCTCTGACTTGTCCCAGAGACGGCTGTAGAGAATATGTCGTCATAAGGTGGACGAGCGAAAAAAATATGAATATTAGTTGGGGCACTAATTAAGAGAATACGCGAAGGTTGCCTGCGAAAATCCTGCCGAAACAGTGTTTTTCAAAATTTTTCATTAGATAAATAATTGCAGTAACTATCTTTTAGAGGTGGACATGAATAGAAATCACCACGTTGTAGGGAAGTGCGAGACGAATTCAACCGTATAAGGTTGCCTGCCCCCAGCCTGCCGCACACCCAGGCAGCCTGGCTAAGAGGGTCGGTTTTTCATCAATAACTATCGTCATCAGGTGGACGCATAAATTAGGTCTCAAATTAAAGGTCTCGATCTGATAAAAAACCGACCTTCTTAGCCAGGCTCTGCCAGGGTGTGCGGCAGGGTGGGGGCAGGCAACCTTATACGGTTGAATTCGTCTCACGCTCCCCTACAACACTGTGATTTCATTTCATGTCCACCTCTAAAAGATAGTTACTGTAATTATTTATCTAATGAAAAATGTTGAAAAACACTGTTTCGGCAGGATTTTCGCAGGCAACCTTCGCGTATTCTCTTAATTAGTGCCTCAACTAATATTCATATTTTTTTCGCTTGTCCACCTTATGACGACATATTCTCTGCAGCCGTCTCTCGTACTATGTATCTGCTTTCCTTTGTAAAAGCCAGATTTTTCCATCTTCTAGGTAATTGAAATTACCAAAGATTAAGGGATTTTTGGCTCACTCTGTTTATCACTTTTATCAGGTTCATATTCTCCTCTATGCCAACTATTCCATACCTGTATATACATCCCAAAAGCAGTAGTTTATCTTTGCCTATTCCTACATTAACCCATATTAATTCAATTCCCGATCCGTTGTTCCGCATATACGATTCATTCAGTGTTGCATAAATTTCCCTTTTGTCCTGTTTTTATATTAAATATTATATGATGACTCCGCCCCCCTATCTGGTTTTGTCTAAAACACTGGCACAGATCACCTAATACAGATGCGTAAGTACGTATACTTGCTGTCGACGATATTCTGTGACGAAGCCGGGCCGCCAGCGGCCCCACGCATAGACAAAGATCGCCCGCGTCAGGACAATTAACGTGGCCGAGTGCGTGAGCATGTTCCAGCCTGTGTGTTTACATATTTTTGCGGGTAGAAAAAAATATTTTTTTTGCTGTTTGTGAACCAATTAAAGAAATAAATTATTGAGCTTCCGCATTTATATAATAAATATGTTCAAAATACATTGATGTGGCATTGGTGCGGCCAGCCTATGTTTATCAAATTAATCTTGAACCACGAATTCGCCGCTCTTTCGCATCTGTATGTAAGTAATCTGTGACACTGGAAGTTATTGTAAGCAGTTAAAATTTAGCAATTGATTGTTTGTTTCGCTGGCCCAAATTTCTGTAACAAATATCAAATCAGGCATATTTTGCTTTACTCTTGCTTGAAACTCATCTAGCTTCGAGAACAGTGATCCTGAATTGTTATATAATACGGTAATTTCCATTAGACTTGAATGGACCTGCCCAGTGTTAGGACAAGATTCTTGTTATTTGGTTGACATATTTGATCTTAAATGTTTTGCTCACCAGCCAACTTTCGAGTTTGGAGTTTGCCCAATATTTCCATAAAGTATTTTCTTTGCGCTTCAGTTTGATTGCTTTCCATGTAAATGCCGCTGGTCTCTTTTTCGAAAACTTTTCTGCACTTCAGAGACCGCAGTGCTAATTCCTTGTAGAACTATCTTTACTGGTCTTCCCTGTCCAGTCTTGGCTGCTTCTGGAAGCTTCAACACCATCTTTGTAAAAAAGAGTTTTAAGTTTTTTTAGAGCATCTGCATATGACGTCCCTGGGAGTTTTTGACGCATCTCATTTTTTAGTTTTGAAATATACATATATATTTTTTTGAAATATATATATATTTTTTTCATTCTCCTTTCTATTTCTGTCCATCGATGCCATAAAAGCGTCAACGTCATCTCTAAGGGCATCCAGACTTTTTGTGGTTTTATCACCTCGTGCTTTTATTTTCTTAAGATCCTCTTGGTTCTACTGAATCTTCTGCTGCATCTGGGGGAGATTCTTAATACTCTCTTTACATCCAGTACAGAAGAATATGGTAGCTCGTAAGGGGCTTGGGATGACTGTTATTTCTTGTGCCATCAGTCTGGTACACTCGCCTTTCTAGTCTTGCGACATAACTTCCAAACGGCCACCTGACAAAAGCGACGAAATATCGCTCTGTATGGATCATACCGAAACATCGCTCTGTATCAAAACATCAACCATATTTTTCCGTTGATTGATAATCAAGTTATAGCAATTAATATAAAGAAAATCAATCAAAACGGATCGCGCTTGTCGGCTATCAGTATATGCTTTCTCACCGCACGATGTCCCATCTCAATTGCAGCTATGACCGTAAACATGTATCTATTTCTGTCGCACTTCGAGACCCGCCGTACTATTGAATTTTTATCACAAATTTTTTTTGTAAATTTATGAACTATAATTTTGATGATATTCTATACCGGGTGTTACAATATGTACGGACACAATGGAAACAGTTTAGATCTCATAATTGTAGACAAAAATTTTCATATTAACAAGGGTCCGACCTTGATCAGTAACCAGGTTATATACCAGCAATTGCAGTAATTAAATGATTCTTTAATTTGAGAATTTTATAAGGAATAACTTTTTTGTTTTAAAAGCTTGTTCAGCTTATATTGTAGTGTGAATACAATATTTTTCCAATATAAAAACGAGGGCATAACCCTCAATGCTTTTTAAAATTTTCGGAATCATAATGCATCTTCGTAACTCGTAAAGGGTACTCGTTATTAGTAGTAATACTATATATTTCAATCCCATTTAATCTCAACCGTCCTTAATGGAGAACATCCTTGATACAATCACTGCACTCTACACATCAATCTCAATAACTATGCTACACACACCTGATTAATAAAGCATTGTACTAATATTTTTTCTTATAAGTCCTACCATTGGGGGTGACATATGCAAGTGTCCAGATGGTCCTGCACTAATTTTAATGACCGAAACTGGATGCTGCAAATCGGACACGTGTACCGGATAGGTAGTACCGGAGATGACGACTAATACAGAAAAGATAAATATAAGCCTCTTCTAAGAGGAAGCGAAATTTAAAAAAATCCGGATTAACAAATTAAATTTCATGAAATTTTAGTTGTTATTTTTTTTTGTAGCACATAGATAGAATTGTGTTAAGGCACTTACAGTTGGTGCAGTAGCTTGAGGTCTGGTAACATCCCGGCGCATAGATGAAGTGGGGTTAAATTGCTGCTGCTCCCTTAAAATTTCAATTTCTTCTTGCAATTGCTGATTACGCCTGTGCAAGTGTTGCAGGTCTTCAGCAATTTTATTTTTTTCTCTCTTAACCTCCTCCTTGGCCTCTTGTTCTGCCTCAAAATCGGCTTTGTACACCTCCAGCTAAAGAAAAAAATTAGTTGAATTATCTTAATTTAAAACAAATAAACTATGTATTACTTGAGCTTTCAAAGCAAATTGGTCATCGCTTTCAGTTTGTTGATTTTGTAATTGTCGTCCAAGTTCAGCAATTTCATTGTTGAGAGCCCTAACTTTAGCATCGGATACAGCTCTATTTTGTTCGGACTCGATCAGGGCTTTCTGAGATTGCATCAGCTGCTGGCGAAGGTAGGACATCTCGCCAGGATTAAAATCAGGAGGATATTGCGGCTCAGCTGATTCAGTATTTTCTTGCAATAATAACTGATATTCTTTCTCTAAATCGACCAGTTTTTGTTTAGTCATCCAAGCATTGATGGCGGCGTGTTCTTGTTTGTCACGTGCAACCAGGTTGGCGTGTTTGTATTTTTTTGCAGTGTCATTTGCTTCTTCGAGTTCCTCTTCTAATTCTTTTATTCTGGCTTGTGAGGTCAATAGAGTGGAATTTCTATGATCCAATTCTTGAATTAATCGGTTACGTTCAGCTACGACTTGCGCAAATTCTTGAATTTTTGAAGTGTTTTCTGATGTTTTTTGGTTTATTGCCAGTTGATTTCTTAAAGAATACATTTCTTTGTTGTTTTGTTCAAGGGCCATTTCAGCTAAGAGCAGTTTTTCTTTTGTTAGCTGAAATCAGAACATTTTCTTACAATGTTGTAATAATTATGGTTGGGAAATAATTACCTTCAGTTGGTCAATTTGAAGAGCAAGATTGTCTTGCTCTTCAGTTCCTTTCTCCATCTCCCTAAGTTTCTTATAAGCTTGCTCCAACTCATTTTCGTAACGCTGTAGCTTTTCGTCCATAGCTTTCCAATTGTATGACGCCTGATTTTCTGCAATTGTCGAGTTCAATTTTTTTAATTCCTCTTCCAATTCTTTTATTTTTTTATTAGCCATATCCAGTTGAAATTCTTTCAGATTATTTTCTGAGGTGTCGGTGAGAAGTTTTTTAGTTTTGTCATGTTCGGTTTGCTGGACTTGCAAATTGTATCTCAAATTCTCGTTTTCTTGTTTTATGGTAGCGTTTTCTTCTTTTAACTGTAACAGAAACAATACATAAATAACTCACAATGAAAATTATTGAATAATTCATTACAGTTTCGATGCATCTTTTCGCCTCTCGAAACTTTTCTTTATGGGCCTCATGAACTTTGGTGACATCATTTTGCCATGCCATTATTCTATCATATTGCGCTTTCATGCTCAAATTATTTTGTATGATGGTATCTAAAAAAAAAATAGCTCGATCAACCTAGTTTATATAAGGGTTCGTTTTTTTTTACCTTTCAAGTGCATATTTTCATCGATAAGTTGAGTTACTTTGGCTTGAATTTCTTCAGAACCAAAATCGTTTGGGGAAAAGCTCACTATGCTGATCGCACGAGAATCCTATAATAAAGTTATTTAAACTTTTCTACAAATAACTCTAGAAATCTCTTACGTGTTCGTCTGCTCTTAATCCAGGATAAATCTGTTGGGGTTGTGGCATTGCTGGTAAACAGCTCTGATTCATTTCATTATTAGCTGTTTTCAGAGGACTTAAGCCATTTGGCAAAGATCCAATAGTACTTTGAAATGAGTCTTTTGGGTTATTTACAACATGCTGGTCAGCGTTATTTGAATCTACAGATTCTTTGGTTGGTTTGTTTTCGTTTACAGTTGAAGCAGGTTTTACTGAAGGCTGTAGATGAGTGGATTCAAGTAAATCTGCCAATTCTTGTTGGTAAAGTTGTTTGTGTTCTTGCAGCATGCTGATGTCTGTAATGTTTGAAAATTTCAAATATGATTCTTAGAAATGTTTATTTGCTTACGTGAAAGATCATTGTCTTCGTATAATTCATCAAGATCAGCAGCTGATTTAATGACTACGAATGATAGACCATCACTGCTCAGAGAAGGAACTTCTGCTACATCGTCCATGACTGGTACAGGTAAGGGTTCTTGAGATATACGGAATTCCACTGCCTGACCACTTGATGTCATAATATCTGTGAATAAGTGAAAATTCAAATCAAATTATATATAATGTTTATTGTAGAATACAAAAGAAAATACACGTACATGATAATATTGTAAAATAGCAATATGCAAGAGGTATGTATTATCATCAGTTTTTCATTGGAATAAAAATATTTTGATAAATTATAATGATAAGATAATGCCTGGCTTGTGGCAAAATTCATAATTGTTGGAATGATTTTGGGTGGAAATCATTTCTTTTTTTTCTTATCAATCCAAGTGCATTTATAAGTGACACTTATGTTAGTATTGAGACATCCAGTAATAAGCCAGGAAATTATTGTTAGTAACATAGACCAGAATTTATACCACGCAAATTGAATGTTTAGTATCAAACAGATAAAGACCAAAAATAGGGCATAAAGATTAGAGGCACTAGTGAATATTTGGCCATTATTATTTTAAATGCTCTAACAACTAAAACTTAGCTCAATTTCTATATGAATATTAGATAAGTCGGCGAGGAATTCCATACAAAAGATTAAATGATTACTCATACAAACAAAACATTGAAGCCATATTGGTTTGAATTTACTTAACTACAAATTTTGCATTATACTTAGTAAGTACTTACTAAACAATCCGGTTTATTTATCACTTCTTACCATCAACAAACTTACAGGAGATAAGAAAAAGACCACAATATAATAATACACATTGAGTACTAATAAATGTTACTTGGCCAAATGACTATGAATAATAATAATTATTATTGGCAAGAAAATTGGAGAATGGTTCAATGTGTTGTGATGACACACTCTGATAATTGCAAAATAATTAATTATTTAAAGGTAATGAATCACTATATTCTATATTTAAATATCAATTTCGATGCCTACTTCTAGAAGTGCGCGGAACTCAAATGTATGGAACACTGAGAAATGCAACAATAAGCATTTTATTTATCGCTTTTTATCAGCGCATTTATGTTTTTATCTTTCTCGGTGCAGTAGAGAGAGAAATAATTATTTATGAAATTTTTCCGCTGAATCCTCAAATGCCTGTAATGCAACTATTCGGTACAACATTGAAGGCCTATTTAATTTACCTTCATATTATGTGAGGAATTACTTTGTTCTAATAAGGATTAGCACATTTCTCCAGGCGGCTGTCAGAATTCCTGAAGGGTTTTACAGTGGATTTAAAAATAGCCAAGTAATGCATCTATTTTTAAATCTGTATGTATAGATCGGGAAGCGATACATGGACATGTTAGGTGGAAATAAAAACTGTTTGGGCAATAAACAAAATAATAATATCGGAACAGTGAAGGTCAAATGGATAATAATTTATACAATGTTGCCAAGATGTGTGTCTCAGGGGGCTAAATATTTTGTTAGCTTTATCACTGAATATTAAAGAATGTTTTTTTTTAAAGATATTACCTACAACTTTCACATTTGACATTTCTGGGTATCTCTTCAAACAGGTGAGATTAGTGTGGGTGCAATGCAAAATATAGACAATCACCCGGTACAGTATTGCAAACACCCTGTAGAGTGTTATCAGATTTTCAAAGGACCATGTAGTGAATATGATTATGCACTAACAACCTTCCAAAGATTTAGCTTGAAGGATCTCGAATGAATGAAATAGTTAGTTTTTGTTGGAAATATGCCAACTGCGATTTATTTCAAGTTTTGGTATATAGGTAATTCCTAACAAAAAGTATGTAAGATTTTTAGTACGATCCATTTAAGTAATTTATTTAATAAGATATAGGGTGTACCATTTAAAATAACAAGGTTCTGTCGCATACCCCATTTACGGAGCACCCTGCATATTCAATAATATTATTAACTAATGCACCTTACACCTTACAACTTTGTAATTTAATATTTTTTTTGCTTGCACCTTGTACACCTTGCACCCTGTAAGGAGATGTCGTCCGATATCGCACTAAATGGACACCCTGTATATTTAACTGCCACGTCTGCAACTGCAAATTACATGTGAAGTTTAGCACTCGATGATTCTCACAGGTCAACGATTTTTCAGGAGAGGCGCATTTCCACCAACGGTCGTTAAAGGTAAATGGATAAGTTTTATACATTGACAAAATGTTTTCGATTTTTTTTTTTAAGGTATAGGGGCACGGGGCACGCTTTCATAATTTTCCCACATCTGTTATTTTTTGATTAAAAAAAAAATAGAGAAAATTAATTTCTGTCATGTTAATTTTGTGTTTGAAGGCCAGCTTCCTGAATTTTAACAACTGATATACCTAAGTTTTCCTACTGATGAAATAGTATTTTTTCTACTACCGTACGTAAAGTGAGTACTTTAAGCACTATTCAAAACACTTAAAAATTCACTTCACACACTAGTGCATAAAGTAATTCACTTCACACACTAGTGCGTAATGTAATATCAATGACAGATGTCGACACTGTCAATTTAGTATTTTTCTGGCAAATAACTTTTCCTACAGCCGTGCGGAAAAATCGATTTTCCGCACTGATATGCGTGCGGAAAATGAGTTTTCCCGCACGGTGCGGTAAAACTTTTTTTTTTGACATATCAGTGCAGTGCGGAAAAAATTTTACCGCACTGATATGTCAAAAAAAAAAAGAAAAATTTTACATTTTTACGTCTGTAGGAAAAATATTGTACCTAACACTTGCGGAAAAATTCATTTTCTTGTTAGGTAAATAGCTATTACATACTAGTGCGTAAAGTGAAAATACTTTACGCACTAGTGCGTGAAGTATTTGTCTAAATTAATTTTTTTACACATAATTTTGTATGCAATACCTTACTGTTTGTAACCGTGTTATAAACGGTACCTAACTGAAAATATGATGTACGTTCAGTTATCATTTATGACACGGTTATAAACGGTAGTCACTAAAAAATCCTTTATGTTTTGACTTGGCGTTTTACAAATGAGTGACAAATATAGTTATTTTCCTAACAAGTGCGCAAAGTAATACTTTCCTGCACGAAAAAGAAGTTAGACGAACGACTCGAAGCAGAGTTCGGATAAGCTTTGAGTGCGGGAAAGACACTTTGCGCAAATGTTAGGAACAATACTTTTTCTACGAGTGTTTGAAGATTTGCATCCAGAGGAGCTGTAACTAATCTTAAATATTTCCAGATGCTCAAAATTGGTAATTTTCTCCCCTAGTTCAATGTATTGTGTTTTCAATTTTTTTTTTCCAGTAATCAGCTTGACTTTATTTGCAACATTGGTTGTGCTAGCGAGGTTTACTTAAAATTTGAACAAGTCGTTAAGTTTGTTTCTCCTGCCAAATTTTGGTATGGAGGAGTATAACTTACAGTCCAACTTTTATAATCTAACTCTCCAAAGAAATGTAAGTTGGTGGCTCTCCATTCCAATGTTCACCTGACCTCACATCTGTTTTTGCGGGATTTTTCCTCCCCTCGCTCCTCGTACAAAGGGTGTCAAATTAAAAAAAAATTACCTGAATGCCTTTCTTTGAACAAAAATAACATTAGGCCCTTCTTTCTAAATATAAGTTTATCCAGAAACCCACAAAACATTGAAAAATCGAGTATAAATGCGGTGACTATGCGTAACAAAAATGAGTGCGCAAAGAGTTTCCGTGAGCTAAGTAATAACTTCGCGCACGCGAGTGGAAAAAAATATTCTCCTTGCAAATATTATGAAACTCGTTATAAAAGCATACCCTTCACAAATTCATAGATACCCACAAGTATAAAATTTGATGTCCAAAATGTTTGAACTAATACAAAAATTCACCTATAACTACCGCGCCGTTAGTGGTAATGCACTGCTCCTGAAAATCGTTGCTGCAATTTTACTAATTCGAATAATCAAATTTCCAAATACACATCTCTATTTGTAGATATGAAACATATACCCACCTTATCAATAATTATTAGTGTTGATAAATTACAAAAATTTTATTTCTAAGTTGGATTTCTAAGCCCCAGATGCAGAGAAATTTGTTAGCAGATCTCTTGGCTGAACTTAAGAGAAGAAATGATCAAGGTAAGAATGACATAAAGATTAAATAATACATCAACTCCATACCCAAAATTGTTAAAAAACATCCCCTCTGTGGTAAACTCGGTGGTATAGTAATCTGTGCTCTATGAAAACGAGATTAATGAACTTAAGGTAAGCATACAAAACACCAACGCATAATTCTAATCACCTAAACATGGTTGAATGATCGCATTCCAGAAAGCCTAGTCCATATACCAGGTTGTATAATAAATTCCACAAAGGCAGAGGGAGGAGGTTCGTGTGTTGTAAAATAGCTATTTTCCTATATTTTTTCTACGAGCATACTAAAGCTGATGTTACGAAGAGTTTAATTTAAATGAAATGCGATTAGGCAGAAGGTAGAATTAAAAATGTATTAAAAGGTATTTATAAAAAGGAAGAAAGTCTTCCCGCACAGCAAATCGTGCGGGAAGAGCCATTTCCCGCACGCTCGTAGAAAAAAAATATTTTGCAGGGTCCATAGTTCAATCAACCAAAATTTTGCCACCACAGGACCCATTGAATCCCTCTAGCATGATATTATCTTAAGATAAAATTTCTTATAGCATTTACAGACCTAAACAAAAAACATACATAGAAACAATGGGCGACTTCAACTACCCTACCCCAAAATAAACTGGAAAGCCTTGGAAGTACATCCACACAACCAGTGTAGTCAAGACTTACTAGACAGCAGACAAAAACCATATAGGTTACAAACATAAAATTTTTCTACAAGGTTTGAGAACGACCAAACATCTCTTCTACATAGATCTGCTTATTATTAATGAGAAGAAATTAGTCTTAGATGTTCAAAACAAACACAGATTCAAATAATTGCACAGATAGCCTACAGCTCGGCCGACACATAAAATCCACAAAAGGAATTTTTGGAAGGCAGATTAAACGGTGATTAAACTGAAGTGAACCAAACCCTTCAGCAACAGCTTGCACAGGCTACTAACTCACATTTGTTTGAAGAATTCTCTGATATTGCAT